TTCCCCCCCCCCCCCCGCCGCCGATGGGAGCAGCCACTCGTTCAACGACCGACGGGGCGGGCGTAAAAAAAAAAAAAAGCGGGACGTCTCTCACCTGGGCGGGGTGTGTGGAGCCCTTTCAAACGCTGCCCCGAGCCGAGACCCCCCCTACCGAGCCGGGAAAGGAATAAGAGGGCTGCTTTGAAGCACGGACGGCGACCCCTCAACCCGCTTCCTCGTCAACGGGCTCCACCAACGGCTGCTCACGAAGCGCAACGGCCAACTTCCAACCCACGCGTCCCCTCACGTCTCTCCTCAGTCCAGCGCCGCGGGAGGAGTATTTATAGGCAGGGTCCGGCGGGCCACGCCCTGCCCCTCCGAGGGGGGCGTTCCCTCGGCCACGCCCCCCCCCTTTTCGCCTCTGCCCCGCCGGACGGGCTGGACCACCCGCGCGCCGCTCCTCAGGCTCCTCCCCCCCCCCCGCCGCCGAAAAGGGAGCCCGGGAAGGCGGCCGCGGCTCCCTGAGGGGAAGGCGCTTTTCTCCCGGGGCGATGGAGGAGGAGTGGAGTAGGGGGAGCCAGGCGAAGAGGGTCGGTGGGGCGTTGAAGGAGATTTTTTTTTCCGAACGAAGCGAGAAACGGCGCAACGGCAGCAGCGCCAGCTTTTCCGGACTGGCGGCATCCCCCAACATTTAGCGCTCTCCGGATACAGGAAGGCGAACGCCCATAATTATCGACCGGTTGGAAATGAACGGGAAGCTTCCTTTAAGGCTCAAAAAGTAAACACGAGATAGGAGAGGAGAGGAGAGGTAATCATGTCATGTGTGTGTACACACAAAAACACTTATATGCACACACACAGATATGTCTCATCAGATATTGTATATCTCTGATAGACATCTATAGATACATTTGTGTGTGTTTATGTATACACACACTATCTATCTAGACACACAAAACCGTACGATGTATCTATAGATGTCTATCCGATAGACATTCTGATAGACATATAGATACATCATGTGTTTGTGTATATGCACACAAACATGCTCTATAACAATACATTCTATATCTCCGATGGACATATATAGATATATTTTGTGTATCACACACAAGTCTATCAGACATTCTGATATATATAGATATATTGTGTGTGTTTGTGTATATTACACACAAACATACTCTATAACAAATCAGATAAACACATTCTATATCTCTGATAGACATATAGATACATTTGTATTTGTATACACATACTGTGTATATATACATGTCTATTGGATGGATGGATGGGTGGATGGATGGAGAGAGAGAGAGAGAGAGAGAGATAATCTCTGTCTTATATGGGTGTCCTGAGATGGGAGGCCATCAGGAGATCCCAGCTCAGCAGGCTGGTCCAAAAAGTCAAAAAAGCATTCCAGAAGAAGGTAGTGACAAAGTGAGAACTGAGAACCAAATTTTCTGATTTTGAAATGCGTGGATTTCAGCACGTAACTCATCCTTCAAGGATCATACGCCCTTTTCTTTACAGTGAGGTGTCATCATCAAAAATATTACTACAACGCTTTAAAAAAAAAAATACCTGGCAAATACAGGCTCTACATCCCTGATTAAAATCCTGTTATTGCAGGTAAAATTTGGCAAGACTAGAGGAAATAGGCCTTCATCATACTTACTTGATTTTCAACAAAACACACCATTTGCGTGTGAAGTTCTCGAATATCCCTAACTAAATGTTGGCAACTCTAGCTTCAAAGGCAGTGAAATGGGAGAAAAATATACACACCACTTTTGCCAGAGTTTAGTGTGCGATTCTGTATAACCCACAGTTGGGTGTAGATTCATAATCCTTAAGAGTCATAGAAGCCTTCTGGAGGCCCAGTTTTTTGCTAAAACTATGCAAGCAAACCACAGTATTAGCTATGGAAAAGCTCAGAATGTTAATACAATAGAAGATATTCTAATTTTACTTGATTACTTTTCTTACAAGACGTTCAGATAGGCTTGTAAGCAACCACAACAAACATCAACTGCTTTTTTAAATCTAAAAACAACAACAGTAGAGAGAAACTGAAACAAGACAGGGGAAGGGGAAAAAAACTACTCAAAACCAAAATCTACGTGAAAACAAAATGTTATCTTACCAGAATGCTGGTTAGCAGCATTCTCATCTACAGTAGCTGGGCCTTTGCAGATGATTTAACCAACAGTTCTCAACCCACACTGCCTGCAATCAAAATTAATGGGATTTCAACATATTTCCAGAGGCCCAGATTGTAGAAAAACACCAAAGAGTCTCAAAGGTTGTGGGTGCACCATCACTGGAAGTTTTTAAGAAGAGATTGGATAGCCATTTGTTTGGAGTGGTACAGGGTCTCTTGCTTGGGCAAGGGGTTGGTCTAGAAGACCTCTGTTATTCAGTGTCCAAGATTTTTATGCCAAGTGACAATGGAAGACGGTCCTTCACTGGGAGGCACCCAGAGTTTTGTATAAAATGGGTGGCTATATAAATACAGAGACAGAAAGCATATGGTGGCTGAGGAATTCTGGGAGTTGGAAGTCCACATATCTTAAAAAATTGTTGAGGTGGAAAAGCACTATTTTAAAGGATTACTACTATCCAACCTGTAGAGACTTCTGAATTCCTAACTGGTAGGTAACAAATATTTCAGAGATGACTGAATTAGCTTTTTCTCCAAGCTCAAGAAGGGTTATAGAAACTGTTTAGAGATGCTACAGAATAGTACTTGCTGGTCCAGCTGTTGGCAATGAGCAAGAAATCTAACCACACAACTTTCAATTTTATGGCAACTGCACTAGCTACTAGTAAGTTTCCAGCTCTAATTTTGACTGTGATTGGGTGGAAACTTTTGTTAGTTTGTTTTGATTAGAAGGAACATCTTTCCTCATATAACTGACTGGGGAATTCTGGAAGTCCACACATTTTCAAGTTGCTACAGTTGAGAAACTCTGGTTCAAATCTGATATCTCCAGACCATCTGTTGCAATGCAATATTTCCTTAATCATTAACAGCTTTGCCCTCAATTGCTGGTTCGTTTCAAGCCCGCTATGTTGCATGAATATATATTTTTTTCAAATTTTATCAGTTATTGTTCTATGACCTCATTTCACCAAGGACCTCAGTTGTTAAGCACCCCAAATTTCCTCGCTTTCATGATGAATAAAAAAGTAGCTCAGTGACCAATGTAGTTTCCCAAGATAAATTGTTTTGGCAACTTTTCTAAGTTTTCTGCCACAAAAAGTAGCAACAGCAACAAAAAAGAATTTTTAAAAAATACACAAGATGGACAACTTTAAGTAAATGTGTTCTACGAAGGACCTTTCCTATGTCTGGCAAAACATGTTGCTCTCTATAAACTGCATAAAAATAAAAATAAAAAAAATAAAAATTTCATAAAAATTAAAAAAAAAAAAAATTCCCAGCTGAAATAATACTTTTTAAAAGCAGTCACATTTTTCCAAACCTTGACCATATGATCTGCCTCTGACCAAGTAATTTTGAAGCATTCCGCTTATTCTAAATGTAATTACTTTCAAACAAAAAACCTTATACAGCATTTTATAAACTAAAGGAAATGTTTGCTAAGACATTGGAAATATGTGAGGAGTGTACATACATGTCATGGTGGAATAAAATGGCCAATTTGCAGCAGCAGCTTCTACAACTTTCTATGTCCCCTAAAAACGGCAACGTATTATAGGTAGTCCTTGAATTATGACCACAATGGGGGAATCAGAATTTCTGTTGCTAAGCAAGGCGGTTGTAACACAAGTCACACCTGACTTTTATGACCTATTTGCCATCGTTGTTAATCAAATCGCTGCAGTGGTGGAATTCAATTTTTTTTACTACCAGTTCTGTGGGCGTGGCTTGATAGGCATGGCTTGGTGGGCGTGACAGGGGAAGGAAACTGCAAAATCCCCATTCCCTCCCCACCCCATTAACCTGCTTTCCAACTCCGTTCTCCTATGCAGGGCAACAAAAGAAGACCCAGCTGATCAGCTGGGACTCGGGAGGCAGAGAATAGATGGGGGCGGGGCCAATCAGAGGTGGGATTTGCCTGTTCTCCAAACTACTCAAAATTTCTGCTACCAGAACTGGTCAGAACCTGCTGAATACCACCTCTGAATAGCTGCAGTTATGAAGTGAATCATGTGGTCGTTAAATGAACCCCTCTTCTGCTTGTGGGAAGGTCACAAATGGGAATCGCCTGGATGGCACATCAGGTTGAAAATACCTGCTGGTTAATACCAAGCATCCAAATTTTGATCACGTGACTATGGAGATGCTGGGACGGTCACAAGTGTGAGGAACGGTTATAAGTCACTTATTTTTCAGTGCCATTGTAACTTTAACGGTTGATAAACAAATGGTCATAAGTCAAGGACTACCTCTGTTGGGCGTTTCCCTGCATCTGATCAAAAGTATGTCGGGAGGCTGCTGGAAGTTAAAACCCACCCCTCTCCTAGAGAAATGAAATATTTTAGGATATACTAAAAAGGTGGAATATTTCCTCTAAAAGATAAATAGAAACTCAGAGAGGCAGAAAATCAGCCCTCCTACCTTTGCTAATGGGCCATTAAGGCCTGGGCCAGTCTATTCTACATAACAAAGATCTACCTCCTTCAGGCAGACCCATAATAGGAGTTGCCCAAAGCCCTTTCATTACATCATCACCCAGCAAGGCTCAACCAAGCCTGGGACTCAGGATAGGCTACAGAGTTGCCCCTGCATGGCCCCATGGGAGTCTGACAACCAATCAGAATACAACCTCAAATTCAAATCCCAACAGAAAGCATAATAAAACCCAGGGACTCTCAGCATCTCTCAGCCCAAGAGCTCCAAGGCATGTGATCCTATCCACCATTAAACCATCTTTCCCCACTTGGAACTGAACCCAGAAGGACATTTCTTCCAACCATGCAACCAAAACTATCAAGATTTCATGGGGCGGAACAACTCTACTTACCAACGGCAGAGGCATTCTGGGTATCGACACAAGGCACTGGAGACACAATCGCTGCCTTTTGCATACACGATTCTGTAATAATGCAAATACGAAAGGGAAAAGCCTGCGTGGCGACATCACAATGCACATTATGATGGCTTTGGCCTCATTATTGTTGGGCTGTGAATGTCCCTGACAGCAAATGGCAGAAAAGAGCCTTTTTCTCCACTTCGTCCTTCTGAGCACCTGGAGAGGGGCACCATTTTGTAGGGAATATTCAGATGCCGAAAACAAGATAGGCAGGAACATGCCTTAAGTCTTCGGAAAAGCAA